TCAAACTGGGTGGGGCTTGAATTGTGAAGTGGCTTACATGTTTTTGCAAACTTTAGGTGGGCCTGGTACAGGAATCTCTATAAATCAAATTCGGCCCAAAGAAGATCGTCATAATATAAACCTCAGCATTCAAAGGTTTCATAATTAGTTTATTTTGTTGTTGCACCAATTTATTTTGCTCGCCTACATGGACCAGCCAACGCTACTTGAAAATAGTGGACGTTTTGGAAACTATCTCAACATATGTGAGTGAAAAGCTGAATTTTCAGAGTAGCCCTTTATTCATTTTAAAATGACGCTCAAAGGTACTTAAACAAGATGTGCGATTCAGTTTTCCTTAGGCAAGCTTTGCCCTGGTTCTTTATAATAGACAAAGGTAACTTCATCCTCGCTGTACTGAAGCTCATATGAGGTTACCCACTGGGATGCGGTATTTTGTCCTTGTTAAAAACAAATAAGGCTCTTAGCGAACTGCCATATACACCTTTTGCTGTTCATTTACGCAAAATTTACATTCATTTACATACATACATACATATTTTATTTTAACAATACAGGTTAAAAATATGGCAGCAAAAGCTGATATGGACCTGCTATGCATATATAAATATTGACAAAATGTATCAACCAGATAATTTAAATTCACATCAATTTAGACAAGGAAACTTACAAATTTCAATAACAAATAAAAATATAAAATAGCATCTAAAAATATATAAAATCATCAGAGTTATTAAATGTAATGGTAGAACTGCAACCAAAAGATATTTTATCAATAGATTTAGAGTTCTTTACAAGATTTGCTTTAAACGATCCAAAGGAAGGAAGAGACTTCATCTTTACAGGTAGACTGTTCCAAATTATACTGACTCGATGAGTAAAGGAATCATTGTTTCCTTTCCAGTAGGCATGGGTTAAATCGAATTTAAGGTTATCTCTTAAATTGTAATTTGTCGCGTGCTTAGTAAGGAGATTTGTGATACTAGGTGGTGCTAAATTATAATAAGCTGGATAAGCTTTGCATGGCATTCTTTTTTTGTAAAAATATGATAGAGAGTGCCATTTTACTTGAGATAAGACTTCATACTTTGGGATAGAGGGGTTGAAATTATAGATAAGTCGAGCAGCACGTATGTGAGAGTCCTCCAAAGCCTGCAATGATCTTGAACAGCTCCACAGTTTAAACTGTACGATAAATATACGATCATTAGCACTTCCATGAACTTCATAAACGTGAAAGAACTTTCAGTAACGCTATTTGCATTTGTATCAACATTTAACAGCATGAATTGATGAACAGTTGCACCTCTGGACAATCAAAGAGAACAAATATACTTTTAATCTCGAGAAACGGTTAATCATTAACGCCAATAGAAAATCAGTTGTACACTATGACAATCAATGGCGTATTACAGACATACAATTATGCAATTTGTATAAAGACGCACAATCAATTGCACCTTCGTATGATCGTCCATTTGAAATGGTCAATTATTAACGTGAACTAACGTTGGTATTTTTCGAATGAACAACAGGGAGAAAAAAGTATTCATTAGCATTATTCATCGTAGTTACAAGTATTTTAAATACTAAACAAAAATAGAAAAGTATGTACATTATCATTTGGATTTTATGTTGTTTTTTGCACAACCTTTTGCTGAAGCAGAAATAACATGAAGAACATTCAAAATGTACAGTATTATACATTTACATTACTAACTTCCAGTAACCAGCCATCGTAAAACCGTAAAACCTTGGCAATAAACTGTCATCAAAAACTCAACATACACAACTTTTATGATGTCAGAAAAATATCATGAAGGAAAAAAGGAGGAAATAAAAAGTCACATGGGATTGTAAAAACTATCTCGTGGTAATAAGCCTAGCAGTTGGAGTAATTTTCACACAATTTCTATTAGAGGGCTCTTTCAAACTTTCTAAGATATTTCTTTGGAAATGTCGAGCGATTCAAAAATTAGGCTGGTTATCTTGTTGACAAAGTGCTCGAACTCAGGCATACCATTTTTTCCACTGATCACTTTTTCCCGGAAAATTCTCAGTTCAAAAAGGAAAAAACCGATGGCCCGTTTAAATTTTAGGCACGCCCTGTTTCGACCACTCTGTGATCATTTTTAGTTGTAAGTGAGTTGGCCGTACCGAACTATGATAAAGGAAATAACGCACACCAATAAAAGACACGAGATACATTTAAGGACATTCACATATACCAAAGTGTAACTCCCATTGCGTGCCTGCATTTGACGTCCACATCCGGGACATCGGCCATGTGCTATGTCGAAGGACTCGGGAGAACTCGTCGCCATTTTTGTAATGACATAATTTGCCAACCAAAATTGTTGAGTTTTGGACATTCAGAATTTGAAACATTCGGTAGGTTCTATCATATTTGGTGCGTATCGTAATTGTGCTCGCTGAAGGTGTACTTTCGTTCGTAGAAAGCCTGCCTGCCTAACTAGATGTTTTGTCGGCTTGATTATTGGAACGTTTGTGGAATTTTCAATGGAATACTTGTAAATAAATCGTTCACTTTTCACTTTGGAGTCTTACGCTTATGTGGTTCTCCAAACTGCTTAATAGTTTTTCGAGTTCTACGAGTTAGCAGAGTTTAGATGTTTGACCAGTTTCATAAGAGTATTTGTTGGAAATCTGACCCGAATATACAACGGGATTACCCGTTTGATGGAAGACGGCGGCACCCAAGACGAAATCTCAAAGGAAATAGTAAATTTCAATGTCGGGTGGATTAAATTTGTCGTTGTGCTTGATAAATATTACAAGTGATTGGTTGCCGGTGTTAACGCTTCAGCGTCGGAAAAGGCTGAGAAAGTTTATAAGGAACAAATGGAGCAAAAAATTAATTTCCGCGGTTAAATGGTGGTGACCCGTGCATCAAAACAACAGTGTATTTTCCAGCTTAGGACCCAAAGGTTTGGGCAGTGAAGCTTCCGAATCAAGTTCAAAGTCATCTTCGCGTACGGTGTCCCAAAAAAAGGGAATTTCTGGTGTTAGCTCAGCTTAAGATCCGCCAATTGAAAGTTCACCTGCGATCGAATGAAGAAAAACAAGAATTTCAAAGGAAAAGAGAGTTGATGGAAGCCGAAATGGAGGCAGAGAAGGCTGAAGTGTCACTACAAATTTATGAAGAAGAAGAAATGGGAGAAGAAAGAAAAGACATTGAGTTGGTAGTTGATGATTGGCAACCACCCAAGTCGCAAAGCATGGAAGAACAAAGAGGTACCTCAGAGCCCTTTACAATGGATCAAACACCACCTTTCAAACCGAAAGTTCCTGCCATTCTATCTTTGTCTACGATTAATTATTTAAATGAAACAGTGCCTGGATTATTTGCGCCACACCCTAAATCGGACACCCTTGTCGTTCTTGCCTTCTCGTGTAACTCGGTCTAGCTAAATAGTTATGCAACTTCACAACCTATCTCCCATCTGTCAAGTGAAAAATAGCTTATACTTATGCCCTCATCGGATAACCCTGTCTCTAGAATGGCTGGCGTTGTTACATCATCAGTAACACTTACAAGTAGCACAGTCACAAGTTCTTCAACTTTACCTGTGGTTCAGCCTTGAGAATTGCAGCACGCTACTGCTTGCTTGCCAAGTAGGGATTCGAAACCTTTATTTGGTGACTCTGTGGTATCCAGTATTAAGTCTTCACAGGCATTGTCTGGACAGCCTGTTATCGTAGTCTTCCGCTTGGCAGATGTGACATGGGACACAACACCAGTACAGCAGGTACAGCATTTTTACAGTAAAAAGGACATAGTGAAAGCGCTGGGGCACGTGGTTATCTCGCCAAAAGTCGTGTACCCCAAGTTTGATGGAGATCCACTCGGATAGGTGACAGTGACATTTATTCATAACTTCGAAACTTATTTGGAACAGGACAACCCTGACGACTCTGGGCGGCTACAACTACTGATCTAGCACTGCACAGGGAAGGCAAGAGAAGCGGTAGAGAGCTATGCGAATTTACCAGTTTCTGATGGTTATTGAGTGGCAAAGGAAACATTGCACGAGAAATTCGGGAAGCCGTATCTAATTGCAGATGCGCAAACTCAGAAATTGTTACGTCTGCCTAGCCTGAAGAATGTGGATGGACCTTTCCTACTGGAATTTAGCAAACACTAAGACATCGCTGATCAAACCTTGACCGGAATGGGCACCGAATATGTGGCTGACCTTAGTTAGAAGTCTTTTGTAAATCATTTATGAATCATTTATCTTCTTTCAGAGAAACACAAGAATCTTCCTTTCCCACAGTATACTGGGTATACTGACGCACTATCCTTTGCCCTTTGTAGTAAATCTGAGATTGAAGTGTAAAAGTGTTATCGTGTGGTTATCAGACCTTGAGTGAAGTTTTTGTTTCTTTCAGTCTTTGGTATATTTATGACAGCCCATTTAGGGTCTCATATGGTGCGTGTTTGTTGGGATCGGACGTCGGTTATGATAAATAGAAATAATTCGCATTGGTACACTGAAATACTTGTACAGAATGCTGTTCTCCCCCTGCATTCTCAGGAATTATTGATCAATATATACATATTATCTCTATGTATATGAAAAACAACCATTGAATTGTTTAAGAGTTACTCAACAAACTGAGCAAGAGATATCATAGTTTTCCTACAGCTGAGGTCGTAATTTGCATAATGGTGATCGATGAAACAACCGTATGTACATTTTTGACACTGATTTTATTTTCTCTTTGCTCTCCCGCAACTCTGAATGTATGATTTACCTTTTGCCTAATATCTTGTGGCATACCAGCCAAAATTTCCAAAATTAAAGTTGATTTCAAAACCTTTTTCTACCTGGCAGGGAATAATTAGATTAGCGTTTGTTTACACAACACATATCTTCTGCTCGCTCAGGACACAAATATTCGTGGTATTTCCAAAAGGAGGCGTTCCGATTCAAAGCACCAAATTTTACTCAGGTATTGAATAAGGACATTTTATT